TGTTTTCTTTGAGCAACAGCAAAGCAAGGTAGCATGTATGACTAGAATTTTAGTGAGTGAGAAGGAGTAGGGTAAACAGAATAATTTGGATTATTGAGAAAGGATATGCCTTGATGAACTGAAGGACTAAAAAAAGAGGAAAAGAAATGGTTAAAATTTTGCTCTCATGCAACTCACTGCCCATTACCTTATTTTGTCTTTTCCTGCAAAATAATTTGTTGGTCTTGGAAATTCCTGAAACTGAAACAACAGGGGAATTTTTAAAGTTAGCATGGCAAATACTGGTATATTGATATGCCTCCTGATATATGATATTGAGAAAGACTTTAATGGGAAAGAATGCCTTAAATCAGTTAACAGTGCCTCCCACAAGTAAGAGGATTGGCAAGAGAGTTCACACTGCAGTGCCACCTGTGCTTGAGACTGAACAAAAGATGAAATGTAGGTAGTAGTTATATATGGTTGGCACAGTGATATTTAATTATATAGAAAAATATTTGCATTTCAGGTATTTTTGACAGCCTTTAAATGTCATAACTCATTACTGGTTTCATCTGTCCATTTAGCTTGACTTTTTAAAATTGAAAATTTTTTGCAACATCATCGTCTTTACTGCAGCCCTGTTTTGCTCTTTGAATAAGGATTTGTGTTCAGTGCCTTAGCTTCTCTTTAGGGCATACCTGGTTCCTTATATTTACTTTTTAAATTTATTAATACATTTTATTTTTTTGAAGCAATTTTAGATTTGCAACAAAATGGAGAGGAAAACATTTCCTGCGTATTTCCTGCCCCCACACATGCATAACCTCCCCCATCATCGACACCTCCCACCAAAATGGTGCATTTGTTTTAATTGAATAGCCCCCATTAATGCATCATCGAAAGTCCAAAGTTTACATTAAGGTTCACTCTTGGTATGTTCTGTGGGGTTAGATAAAATGATAATGATTTGCATCTAGCATTACTGTATTATACAGAACAGTTTTATAGCGTTAAAAGCCTTCTGTACTCAAGTTATTTCCCACCCCCACAACTCCTGATCTTTTTCCTGTCACCATAGTTTTACCATTTCTAGACTTTCGGTTCCTTCCAAGTTTTACCATTTCCAGACATCTTGGGTCCTTCCAAGTTTTTGCTGTTATTAATAGAGTTGCTACAAACATCCACATGCAGGTTTTTCTGTGGGCATAAGTTTTTCAGCACCTTTGAATAAATACCATGGAGCACAATTCTACATTATGTGGTCAATTTATGTTTTGTAAGAAATCATCAGACATAAATTTATGTTTTGTAAGAAATCATCAACCTGTCCTCCTGTAAGAAATCATCAACCTGTCCACTAAACCTGGCTGTGCCGTTTAGTGCTCACACAAACAATGAATGAGAATCCCTGTTGCTCAATACCCTCACCAATATTTGGTGATGTCAGTGTTCTGGATTTTGGCCAATCTGATAAGTATATAGTTTCAAAGGTGTTTCATTGTTTCAATTTGCATTTCTTTGATGGCATATGAGGTAGAACATCTTTTCATATGCTCATTTGCCACCAGTATATTTTCTTCGGTGAGGTGTCAAAGTCTTTGACCCATGTCTTATTCTGCTGTAGCAAAATACCACTAACTGGGTGGCTAATCAACAATTAGAATTTCTTTCTTGCAATTATGGAGACTGGGAGTCTGAGATTAGGGTGCTTTTATGATTAGGATCCTCTTCTGGATTATAGACTTCTAACTGTAACTTTTACTTTGTAGACTGGAAAGGGGTCTCTTTTATAAGGGTACTAATTCCACTCATGAGGACCTAATCATCTCCAAAGGAGGCCCTACCTCCTGTTATTATCTTAATGTATTGGAAATTTTGATATAGCAAATAAATGTTGGGTGGACATACTCAGATCATTTGTCAGTGGTCTGGAGTTGGGCTATTCTAAGAGTTGTAGGGTGGTATCTCATTGTTTTAACAACGTGTTATATCTTTGGTGATATATGTGTTCAAGTTTTTGGCTTATTTTTTGAGTTGCTTTTTATTTTTTTATTTTTTAAAGATTTATTTATTTTTACAAGCACTGGGTACAGTCAGAAGTGCAGGAGGGTGAGAGAATTCACCAGAGCCAGAGCGGGGAGCAGAGCAGGCAGAAGGACTGAAGTACACTGCTGAGGGGAGCAGCGGGCAGCAGGAGAGGTCTGCGCGCCATGTGGGACCCTCCTCCGGTGGCCGGGGAGCAGCCGGGGATCGAACCAGCGCTGCAGAGGCTGCGGGCAGCTTCGCAACCCAGCGCTCAACCGCTGCGCCACTGGGAAGGCCCTTGAGTTGCTTTTTAATTGTTGAATTTTAATAGTTCATATAACAATCCTTTATCAGATATGTCTTTTGTAAATATTTTCTCTTAATCTGTGCCTTATCCTTTTATCCTTTTACTGTCAAGAGGACAGTATCTCAGAGCAGAAATTTTTATTTTTATTGAAGTCCAACTTAGTAGTTCTTTCATTGATCTTGCCTTTGGTGTTACAGCTACAAAGTCATCTAGGTTTCCTCCTCTGTTATCGTCTAGGAGTTTTATATTTTTCCATTTTCCATTTAGGTTTGATCCATTTAAAATTAGTTTTTCCGAAGAATGTAGGGTCTGTATCTAAATTGATATTTTTGCATGTTGATGTTTAGTTGTTCCAGCACTATTTTTTCCATGAGTTACCTTTGCTCCTTGTCAGAGATCAGTTGATTATATTCATGTAGGTCTGTTTCTGGGCTCTCTATCATATTCCATTGATCTGTCAGTCTGTTCTTTCCAGTGCCACTATACAATATTTTAATTACCGTAACTTTATAGTAAGTCTTAAAGTCAGAAAGTGCTAGTCCTCTTGTTGCAGGGCAGGGAGAGGGGCAGCCCAAACCCCGCAAACCTGCCTGTTCTAAATGGGTTCTGCCATCCACCGCATCAACACAAAACGTATGAGACTTTAATGGGAAGGAACTTCAATACAACTAGGAAACAATACAGGAAAGGCAAAGAATCTAGTTTCTAAATGAAGCACCCAAAGTTACCCGTCCCCTCGTGGGTAAAAGTCCATCCATATGGGATTGGCCCAGAGCAAGGCCCCAAAGCCTGCCACAAGTCTAAAGCATCTTCCAGTGGGGACCCACAGAAAAGGGTCAGAAACAACCAGACAAGCCCAGAAGGAAAAGAGCAAAATCAAAATCAAGATAAAAGCTGCCATTCACACCTCCCCACAGGTCTCACCCACATCTGTGTCATCCAGTCCACAACCAAAAGGCAAGCACAGTTTCTTCACATGTCTCTCCATTCCATGTGCCTCCTCCAGGTCTCCTCCTGGCTCTCCATCCTGCTTCCTTCCTTCCTCAGTCTCCTCTGCAGCTGCTTCTCTCCCTGCTTAGCTCCACCCTCCCTTGGGTGGGGTAGGGAACCTGGAACCTCCCCCTTTCCTGGGGACCACCCTGTTACACTCTGACTTTGTTCTGCTCCTTCAATACTGTGTTTGCTATTTTGGGTCTTTTGCCTCTCTCTAAAAACTTTAGAATCAACTTTTCAATATCCACAAAATGATTTGCTGGGATTTTGATTGGGATTGAATAGAAACTATGAAGTTGAGAAGAACTGACATTTTAACACTATTCAGTCTTCCTATCCATGAACATGGAATACTCCATTTTATTTACTTTTTTTTTCTGTTTTGTAGTCTTGAGAAGGTGCTTTATATGAGCCACTTCACAACTGTTTTACAATTTTCTTGTCTTCTTGATTTCATTTGCTGTTTGTTCCTCTTTATATTTGGCTTTCTAAGAGCTTTCCCTCCTCCTTTTAACGTCCATGACTCCCAACCAGGTTATTTCTGGTATGCATAGCAGAGAGTTGTAGAAACAACTTAGAGTTGTACAGAGCAGAGAATTGTAGAAACAACTCTCATACTTCATATCTATACAATAAAACAGCTTGCTCAGAAATTAGAGCAAAAATTCTAATCACAATATAAAGGAAATACAAGTGAATCATAGCATATAATCTCTGCCTTCAAGGAATTTGTCTCAATAGTTAAGAAATCAGACTCAAACTATGAAAACTAAGATGTTTAGATATTAATTCTAATATTAAGTCGTAGAGGGAATACCTGATTAATATATATTCATTGTAGAGACAATGACAACTCTGGGATTTAGAGAAAGGAGTGATTTGCTTTAGTAAGGTTAGTCAGGGAGAATTATTAGACTTGTAGAATATAAAATTAGTAAATTTTTTTAAAAATTATTTATGCATACAAGAACTGGGGTCTAGGCCAGAGGTGCAGGGGATTCACCAGAGACAGAGTAGGGCACACAACAGGTGGATCTATTGAAATACACTACTGAGGGGAGCAGTGGGCGAGACAGGAGAGGTCTGCTTTGTCATGTGAGACACCTCCCTGGCCGGAAATCAAACTCATGCCATGCCACAATGGCTGGTGCTAGTTTTATAGTGCTGAGACTTAGGGACTCTCTGGTGGCACAAAGGGTTAAGATGCAACCTATGAAGCTATCTGCAGCTGCTGCAGCACGAATTCAATCCCCGGCCAGGGAGCAACCCACATGGCGCAGCAGACCTCTCCTGACTCACCTGCTGCTCCCATCAGCAATGTATTTCAGTCACTCTACCTGTTCTGTTCCCCACTCTGTCTCCGGTGAATCACCACCCACATCTCAGGCCTGTACCCCAGTTCTTGTATACATAAATAAATCTTTAAATATATATATATTTGTATAGTGCTGAGTCTTAACCCTTGTGCTACCGGAGAGGCCCTAAAATGAGTAAATTTTTGATAAACGAGATTAATCCAGATTGCTTGTGGATGAGTTTCACAATGCTTTGCCCTTTAATTTTTTTCTTAAAAAATCTTAGTAGGAACTACTTCCTTTAAATTATATTTCTATCCAAAATAGTTATAGTAAACACTTGGAAGCATTTTACATATCAGTTGCCTTCAGCTTTCTTTTTTATGTTTTTGTCACAGACATCCTGATTTTCAGTTGCTACAGGAAGGACAAAGGTATGGTTGAATCAGTATCACTTACCTTCCATATATTCATGTTAATGTACACATTAAAAGTAAACCAGGTGGTATGAGCTCTTGAACTTCCTGTGCTGATGCATTATGTAAGTGCCCATTCTAGCCCACACAAAGAAATATTTGCCTTGTACAGCTTTTTCTTTTGTGATGGTAAGATGATGGTTTTATCTGTATGATTTATGTACAGCTGTTCCTACCAAGAAAGTCTAATTGAATGTGTTGAAATATGATACAAACACAGCTTCTATCTGATAATACTGTCCCTCTTTGTCAACTGTATTATGCCAATTACATTTGTTGAAAGGTTTTTGTAGTCTATTTTACAGGATTTCAAAGTAATGTAGTACCATTTATTTGAAAGCCTGTCTGAAGCACTAATGAAATCCCAAGTTGTGATTTTTTCCCCCTAAACTTATGTTGCTTACCCAACCACAACCATCTCTCGAAACATACCCTTTTCTCTTCCAGAATAAATTTGCTGGTTACTACGTCAGTTACATGGCATTGAGCATAAGTGAGAGATTATTTATTGATATATATGTATATACTTTGTAGCTTCAAAGTATATGAAAGTTTAATTGTTCTAATTTTCTTGAAAATATACTTACTTCAGAGACAAATGATAGTCCCATAGCTATTAAAACTAGATTCTTAACTAAAAAATGACATCTAATACTTAATAAACTTACCATCTTTTCTCCATTCCCATGTACAACCTTAGTTTTTACTCTTTGTTTTTCTTTTTTTTAAAGCTTTTAAAGATTTATTTATTTGGGAGAGTAGAATAGGTGGATCTACTGAAATACATGGCTGAGAAGAGCAGTGGGCAAAATAGGAGAGTTCTGTTGCACCATATGTGGACTATCTCCTAGGCCAGGGATCAAACTCAGGCCTTCATGGTGATGGCGCTGAGACTTAACCCTTAGACCACTAGGGAGACCCCTGATTTTCTTCTTTTATGTTCTTCCTCCCCACCCCCAACATGCTGCCCTTTTTGGGACTGTAGGGAAGGCAGCATCGCTTTATTTTTGAATTTTTTTTTTAATTTAGTTGGCTTTTGGGGAAGCAGTTTCAGTTTTACAGAAAAATTGCACATAAAGCAGTTTGCATATTCCCTTTCATCATCACCCCATCATGTGCTGCTTGACCCAGAATCCTGCTCATCCTGATCTTTAAAAGTTCTGGTTATGTGTATTTGCTTAAGAGTAACTACACACCTATTCTTGTCTATCTCATTTTGTAAATAAAGTGAAGTCTACTTTTTGCTTACACTCTTTCATAATTAACTTTTTAAAAATCTTATCTGAAAATTAAAGGAACATAATCAAAGACAAAAATATTTTTATTAGCATTCTGTCGTAACTCTGAGTTTTCAAATGTAAACATTTTTCACTTATAATTGTTGATTTGCCAACTGTCTTTTCTGCTATGACTTTTTCATTTTTTTTTACTTTTTCATGTTTTTTATTCCATTTATGGAATTTTCTGTTTAACTATCAACCACAGTTGGAAATATTTAAACATCTCTTTTTATCTTTCAAAACCTAAACAGAGTTCCCGTAATACAGTTTTTTGAGAAGCCAGTAATGAGATTTTCAAAAGAAAACCTTTTTTTCAGAAAGGATATGTAAACTAGCCACAGAAATAGACCAAGCAAAAACCAAAATAATTCAATAGAATTACCATTTTTTTCTTTTTCCTATACTCTTTTGAAACTTTCAAAATAGTTGGGGAAAAAGAAAATGGGACGAACTATTTCAAATAAAATATAGAGAAATTACAAAACTGTAGTCCTCAGAGAGAGGGAGAGAGAGAGAGAGTGTGTGTGTGTGTATGTGTGTCCATGTTTATTGTTTAGGGGAATACAAATTTCTACCTTGAAAAAGTTAAGAAATACAAATATTCTAAGATATTTTGCTTTTCTGTTACAGTTTTTTTTTTTTCCTTCTTTTTACAGTGGCCATTCTGGAGAAGAAGTACAGTTACGCACTAAGGCCATTGATACATCAGATATTGACAATCCTGGCCATTTTGTGAAGCATTATGATTCTAGTTCTTCTAGCACTCATAGTGATAGTAACAGTGATAATGAGCAAGATTTTGTTTCTTCCATTCTACCAGGAAACAGACTAAATACAATGGGTATAAGACCACAGCTGCACAAAAAAGGGATAATGAAAAAGAAAGCTGGTCAAAAAGCTAACTCCAAATGTGAAGACAAAGAACAGACAGTAGTAGGTGTCACTGAGCAGTTAGATAATTGCAGATTAGACAGTCCAGAGAAAGCGACTGCTTATGAACTTCCCTTGCAGAAAGTAAATACTCAGATTTCTTCACATAGTCTTTTGCAAGAAAAACTAGAAGCTTCAGAAATTTCTGAAAATAAATGCAATAGTTCAAAAATAACACTAGTAGGTATAAGTAAGAAAAGTGCTGAGCATTTTAAAAGGAAATTTGCCAGATCAAATCAAGTTTCTAGGTCAACTTCGAGTTCAGTGCAGGTGTGTCCTGAAGTTGCAAAGAAAAACTTACTTAAAGCCATGCAGGAGACTTTGATTGAGTGGAAGACAGAAGAAACTTTGAGGTTTTTGCATGGCCAAAATTATGCTTCTGTGTGTCTGGCACCCTCTTCTGCCCCTCTGGTTAATGATGAAGATGATGTAAACTCTGACTTCGAGAGTCATTCCCCTGCCTTGAAGGAATCTCAGAACAGCTTGGATGAGTCTTTGCCTTTTAAAGCCTCCGATACAGCCATTAAACCATTGCCAAGTTATGAAAACTTGAAAAAAGAAACTGAAACATTAAATCTGAGGATCAGGGAGTTTTATAGAGGACGATATGTACTGAATGAAGAAAACACCAAATCACAAGAATCAGAAGAGGTATGTCTTAGTGTTAATGAGTTTTCCATGCTGCTAATATATGGAATACTCACAATAGTAAATCTTAGAGCAGGAAGAGAAATCCCAAAGACTTAATTGTTAAATTTTCAGCTTGCTTTAGTCATTCAGTCTTGAGGTTTAAAATGTCATCTCTAGTATTGGGATTACTATTTTCAAGATAAGTTGAAGTTTGCCCCCAGAAAAATTTCATAAATGTATAACATTTTTCTCTACTGTAGAAATAGTCTATAATCATGGGACAGTTTAAAATCTAGTACTGTATATACCACCTAGATTCTCTGAAAAGGTCTATTTTTCTTTGTTGATGTATATCCTTTCAGATCTCTACATGGGATATATATCTTTATTTTATTTCCAATGGAACTGTGTATAGTAGATTTGCTAACTGCGTAATAAAATATTTGACTATTTAAAATATAAATGACAATAATATAGTAAAGGGGACTTATTAAGAAATAACGAACCTAGGAGAAAAGGGAAAGAGCATATCATAACATATCTAGCTTTGAATGTCTGCTCTCATTGACTAGATGTATGAAAAGTTAGTCTCGAGTCTAATTGCTCACATGTAAATGGTACTATAAATAGCTTCGCTTGCTCATTGTTGTGAGGTTTACAGATAATGTAAAACATTTATTCCAGCGCCTGGCATTATTGGTACTTAGTTGTACGAAGACATTGAGTGTCTGCCACTGAGATTTAGGGAGTTTCAGTATTTCTAGCACCCGTTTTTGGTTGATGTGTAGTCTGGGAAATGAAGTCATTTGGTGTGAAGAGGAGTAGCTGATAACGTCGTTTTTACCACAAATCTTTGTTACTAAAGATTTCTGAGGAAGTGTGGCTCAAAATTTAAAAATACATTTGAAGATTTATCAAGAGAGTACATCATTTGTTTTGTCATTTTTGTGCTTATAAACCATAATCCCTAAGATTTGACTCTTCCCACCTTACATAACATATATAGCAATTTATAGCTCATTGAATAACAAATGAATGAATTTCTATAATCCCTGACCAGGCCCAGAAATTTGAGTAAACTGGAAACCTCAAATTTTTCTCTTCCTAATCATTACCTCATTCCAAAATTTATAGACAAGATTTGCCACCTTTGAACTATGAGCATATATGTGGATTTGCAATTTATTTGATTTCCAATTTATTTCATGTAACATCATATTTGGAAGTAATTTATATTGCATATAGCAGTAGTTCATTCACTGAATAGTATTCCTTTACATAAATATACCACAATTTATGTTAATGAGCACTTGGGCTATTTTTAGTTTGAGGCTGTTACGAACTCTGTTGTCATGAACTTTCTTCTATATGTTTCTTTTCTAATATGCATGCATTTCATTTGGCTATGTATTTTGGACTGGAATTTCTGGTTCATTATGTATGCATATATGCAGCTATCATAGATAATGCTAAACATTTTTCCAAAATGGTTCTGCCAGTTCATATTCCACTACCACTGTATCAGTTTCCATTACTCCACATCAGTACTTTACTTTGTTACTTTTTATCATTCTGGTGATAATGCTCTTTGGCTATAATACATTTCTCTGATGATTAACGAATTGAACTGTTTGCTTATTAATCATATGGGCAGTGTCTTTTATGAAGTACCTAGTCAAATCTTTTTCTGTTAATTGGATTATATGGGGATTTTCTTTCTTTTTGATTTCTTATTGATTTATGTTTTCAGGATTCAAGCCCATGATTAGCTATATATATTGCAAATCATCTTCCCTCTGAGTCTTGCTCTTTTCATTCTCATTAATGGTATCTTGAATCCATTTTATTAATTATTCCCTTTCATGACTTCTTTAAGAAATCTTTGCTTAGCCCAGATTATTTCATGTTCTAGAAGCTATGTTGTTTTACTTTCATATTTATATCTGTAATTCATCTGGGGTTGATTTTTGTTTATAGTGTAGTCATTTTTGTATATAGTGTTTATAGTGTGTCTGGGGTAATAGGTGCAATTAAAGTTTGGAAAACACTATTGGGTTTTCTTTGGGAGGTGGTTTGCTCATTCCATTAGTTAGATGGGAGAGGTGGTCAGAATCTCACCATAATTATGAATTTGATTATATTAGATTTGTGAATTTAACTTTTAATATTTTGAGGTGTTATTGGATACAAATGTTATATCTTTCTGGTAGATCAAACTTCTTTATCATTGTGGAGTTACTTCTTTCTCCATTGATTTACCTCTCCCCCCATTACAGTCTGTGTTGCTGACACTCATTAGTATTTTCAAAGATTGCTTATTTGTTTTCTGTGCTGATAAAATTTGTTGTTTTGTGTGTGTGTGTGTGTGTGTGTGTGTGTAGAATTTATTTACATTTAACATCTAATTGATATATTTTAAATCTACCATTTTGCTGTTTTTCATGTCTCCCATATTCCTTTGTGTTTTTTCTCTCCTTTTTTGCTTTCTTTGCATCAAATATTACTTCATTTTTAGCCCTCTATTAGCTGGTTTTTATACATTCAATAATTTATTATTAACATTACAATGTTGTTAAATGGTTAACTTAAAGATTAAAAGTTGCTTTTTTGTCATATATTTTTACTGCTTTCCGGATAATTAGTACCTTAGAAGCTTTAACTCCATCTAACCCCTCTTGACTTATGTAACCTTATATATTTTTATTCTCTCTATTTTAAATCCTACACAATTATTTATAGTTAGTATTCACTTGGATTTATCCAATTAATTTCTCTTTCATTGTTTTTCATTCCTCCTTGCATCCATTTTCCCACCTGGGAAGATTTGCTTTGGGTGTGAAGAATATCTTCCATTTTCATTAGTGCCGGTTCATTGGTGAATATTCTCATTTTTTGTGAGAAAACTCTTGACTTTTGAAAGGTGTTTTCCTGGATATTTTAAATTAACAGTTTTCTTTTAGCCCAATGAAAATATTTCTTGTCTTTTGACTTCTATTAATTTCTCTCATTGCTGTTGCTTTGAAAATAATGTTTTCTTCCTTTAGATACTTTTAAGTTTTTTTTATTTTAATGCCTTGCCTAAATGTGATTATGTTTGTAGTATTCTTTTGGCTGTTGTAATACTTAAGTGTGTGACTTGATATTTCATTATTTTTGGAGTTTTCTCAGTTATTTCTTCAGATGTTGCTTCTTTCCAAGTCTTTCCTCTCTTTCTGGTACTCCAGTTACAGCTATAGCTCTCGTTTTCATTGTGACTTCTTAGTCTTGTATTTTCTTTTGTGTTTTGCATTATATGTGGGAGTGGGGTTGCTGAAAGTTGTGTGCAAATTTCTGGATATTTGCCAAGCCAATATTCATTTCTACTATTTTATAAAAACTGTACATTGATTTCCTACTTTTAAATAATATATTTTTCAGTTCTGAGATTTTTTTGTTTTATTGCAAAATCAGTCTAGGATTTTTAGTTCTCTATTGAAATTCTCAATTTTGTCATTTTTTCCTGAATACATTCAGCATAGTTATTTTAAATAAAGCTGATGGCTTCATTATCTGGATTCCCGTAGAGGCTGATTTCTATGGGCTACTGTTTCAGATTTTTATCATACGTCTTGTTTTTTATTGTTTTATTATGATATTGCAAACATTGTATATTAAAAATTACAGAGATAACTTGAGACCTAGGCTGATGTTATATTCCTTTAGTATGGATTTATGTTTGCTTCTCACAGATAATTTGTAGCAGTACCAAATCAATTAGCCCAATCTGGGATTCAGGTGATTTTGAAACTGGTCTTCAGTCCCCCTATAAGAGGCAGCCTTTGTATGGTCATTCTAAGATCTGGTCTCAGCTTGGGAGAGAGTTGCCAATACCCTTTCCTTCTTGGCATGCCCCAAACTTGAGTGTTTATTAAAAAATAATGCTGGGGTTCTCAGTATCTAAATTGCCTCTTCTAGAATTAGTCAGTACCTTCTCTAGAGTAACCTTCTTCAGAATCTCAGGTCACAGTTCTTACTGCTTTTAAACAAATGTGTTTTTTTCCCCAGCTTTTTTATTTCCAGCAGGAGAGGTGGCTTGAGTTACCTTGCCTCCCATTTCTAGAATTGGAATTTCCCTTAATATAGTCATAGTATATGCTAGTATTAATCCTTGAGTTACCTACATTTGTATAGCATTTAGAAGTTTACGAAGTTCTGTACTACACTTGTGTTCTCACTTAATAAAGAAGGTATTAGTCTCCTTACTATGAAGGTAAAACACTCAAGAAAGGACAGATGATCAAGTTCACATCAACCTAATGACTGAGCTCATATTCCAATTTAAATCTTGTTTCTCAAGACTGGTTTTTATTCTGATGTGCCACATCTGTAAACTTTTGTATTTTAATGTTTATTATTCTTGTCAAAGAAAGAATGTAAATTTATTATTCTTTTTGCTTTGTTTAAAAATGTGATTCAGCATGATCCCACCTTTCCACTGATAGACTCAAGTTCTCAGAACCAGATCAGAAAACGCATCGTACTTGAAAAATTGAGTAAAGTGTAAGTATAAATCATTATTCTACTTTTACAATATTTTTAAATTAACTTAGCATTTATGGGTTCATAATTTATACGTATTGTCCTTGAATTTTGAACAGTTTGAAAATAATTGAAAAGTTTACATGAATTTCTTCACCTGAGAAATTTAGACATTTAAGGATATTGTCCAAGGAATATCTTTTGTTTTATGTAGAGGACACCGACACATAATAAAGAGGAAAATAGAAAATATGGGAGTAGAAAACCAAAGTACCTCACTTCTACTTAATCAGGGAAAAAATAATCAGTGAAATAAATTAAAAAATATCAAAACTAAACCCATTTAAATAATGACTTGCGGTAAATGTGTCACATTAGTTTCATATGTGAATTATGTGAATAAAACTTGGTAAAGTTTTAATGGTCAATTCACCCACTTTACATGCATATTCACAAACACATGTCAGACTCAGCAACTTGATTTTTGTTAAACTCAACTTTGCACTTCACTTTTAAGCTTCCCGTGGTGGAAATTGTTGTTCTTGTAATTAGCTCAGTCATAAATGACATTTAAAAATTGCAATCTTGGTTTCTCTTTCAAAAGGGGGTTGAAAATCTTTTTTATGAGGGTGTGAGAGCTGTCTTGAACTTTTCAACTTGCATTTTCGCTCTTTAGCAGTAAAGATAGGAAGGTGTTTTCAGTCATTGTTTAAGATGTTGTGCATATAGAGAGGTTTTAATTTTGTAATAGTTCAAAAATTAAAATATGTTTTCTGAAAGTCAGAATATTTTACTTCTCTTTTATATATTAAATAAATGCTTAAGTTCATATTTAATGAGTGCCTATTATTTGTTGGACTCTTAATACAGAGTAAATACTATTTTGCCTTTTATCTGCTCCTCATGCTTTACATTTGTTTCTCTTAAATATTAGTGTAGAACACAGTATAAATCATCTTCTCTCTGATTCATGGGACAAGAAGAGATCCATGCTTGTTTTAGTTGCTCAGATTTTGAAAGTTGGAATGGATTGTCTATACTGGTATGTAGTCAGTAGACAGGGATTTATGTGAAAATAGTTTTCTAGGCTTCTCAGCTAATGCAAGTACCCAGTTTTAAATTTAAAACTACATAGTCATGTCATTGAAGGATTTCTGTTCCTTCTTGACTTTGTAACAAAAGGCCAAAAGGGGGCCTCCCCGGTGGCGCAGCGGTTGAGCGCTAGGTTGCGAAGCTGCCCGCGGGCGCCGGTTCGATCCCCAGCTGCTCCCCGGCCACTGGAGGAAGGTCCCACATGGCGCGCAGACCTCTCCTGCCGCCCGCTGCTCCCCTCAGCAGTGTACTTCGGTCCTTCTGCCTGCTCTGCTCCCCACTCTGGCTCTGGTGGATTCTCTCACCCTCCCGCGCTTCTGACTGTACCCAGTGCATGTACAAACAAAAAACAAACAAATAAATAAATAAATATAACATGCCTCTATTAAAAAAAAAAAAAAAGGCCAAAAGAACTCTGCTAACAAACCTAATTGTTGATATTAGTGTAAGAAAAGAGTTGTAATAAATTTGAAAAGAAGTATAATAACCTCAGATTCCTAAAAAGCATAAAAATAATGAAAACAAAATAATTACCACGGTACCAGGATAATTTTGGTTAGTTGGTTTATGAAGACAGTTGAGTTTTTTCTCATTATAAAAGTAACACCTAATTGATTATAAAAAGTAATATCTTTTTTTGATTTCTGGTAGGAACAAACCAATTGTAAAAAGATATTTTAGAGAAAGAAAATGAAATATGGGGCCTCCCTGGTGGCACGAAGGGTTAAGACGCAACCTGTGAAGCTGTCTGCAGCTGCTGCAGCACAAGTTCAATCCCCAGCCAGGGAGCTACCCACATGGTACAGCAGACCTCTCCTGACTCACCTGCTGCTCCCCTTAACAGTGTATTTCAGTCAGTCTGCCTGTTCTGTTCCCGACTCTGGTGAATCCTTTCACCTCCCACACCTCTGGCCTGTACCCCAGTTCTCATATGCATAAATAAAAAAATTTGAAAAAGAAAAGAATGAAATACATACTGGGCATTAGATGGTATTAAGAAGTTATTAATTTGGTTAGGGGGTAATTTTATTGAGGTTATATAAGAAAATAACTATTGCATTTAGAGATATATAAAGAAATAGGGATCAAATAACAAGTCAGGGATTTACTTTAAAATATAACTGGAAAGGGGAGGAAGGAAGAAAAATGAAGTAAATATAGCAAAATATTAGCAGTTGAATATAGAAATAGATATATGAGGGCCTTCCCCTGGTGGCGCAGTGGTTGAGTGCTGGGCTGCAAGGCTGCCTGCGGCCTCTGTAGCACCGGTTCAATACCCGGCTACCAGCGAGGATCCCACATGACGCGCAGACCTCTCCTGCCATGCCCGCTGCTCCCCTCAGCAGTGTGTTTCCTCGGTCTGCCTGTTCTGTTCTCCGCTCTGGCTCTGGTGAATTCTCTCACCCTCCCATGCTTCTGACTGTACCTTGTGCTTATATAAATAAATAAATCTTTTTAAAAAGATGTATGAGGTTATTATTACTATTCTATTTTGAAACATTTGAATAACCATTAATCCCGTCACTTCAATAACTAGTATTTTAATGTTCATTCCTGACGTGTATGTGATATATATAGTGTATGTATATTTATCCCTTTTGCTTTCCTCTCTTATAGTATTAACCTAGAAGAAATGAAGTTTATTTGCTATATTGTGAATTCATACAATAGCGTTATATATTTCATCTTAGTATTAAATGTCTTAACATTTATCATGTCTTTCCATATTAAAAAATACATTCACATTATAATTTTAAATATTTTGTTATATTCCATTACATGGGTATATCATAATTTAACCAATGACCGACTGATGGACATTTGTTTCCAGGCTTTCACTGTTAAAAATATTCTCTAATAAGAATCATTTTTTATGTTTATCTGGTTATTTCTTTAGGGTAGTTTTTCATTATAAAACTATTGGTAACCACATTTAAAATGTTAATATACTTGTCAAATTTCTCTCCAGAAATGTGCCAGTTTTCACTTCTACCATAGGATTTAATAGGTAGAAATTGCTACATTCTCCTATTGGGCCAATGGAGGGTAATTTATCTGGCCTTGTGTTCATTCCATTTACCTAATACTTGAAAGTAAAGAAATTTAAAAAAAACCCAAAATCTAAAGAATATAACAGATGGTAGCCAAATTGATATTTTTGCATTCCCATGCCTCACACTACAGCATGGAATACAAAGTGAAGTGTGGAATTAGTATAAAATGTTTCCTTATGATCTCACCAATGATAACCTAGTTTAACTGCCTCCACCTATGTGTCATTATTACCTATTTAGAAAATCTAGATTTAGATAAAACACAAATAATATATCTATGTGAGTAAATTATATTTAAAAAATTAATTTTTAATTTTCAGATTGCCTGGACTTCTAGGGCCTCTTCAGATAACACCAGGAGATATTTACACACAACTTAAAGAACTCGTTCGAACATTCAGGTTAGTGTTAATTTTTTTTTTTTTAAATACCACCAGTTTATTTTTTTAAGATTTATTTATTTATTCATACAAGCACTGGGTACAGTCAGAGGCACGGGAGGGTGAGAATTTCACCAGAGCCAGAGCGGAGAGTAGAACAGGCAGAGTGATGAAGTACACTGCTGAGGGGAGCAGCAGGTAGCAGGAGAGGTCTGCATTGCCATGTGGGACTCTCGCCCAGTGGCCAGGGATTGAACCGGCGCTGCAGAGACCGCGGGCAGCTTTGCAACCCAGTGCTCAACCGCTGTGCCACCGGGGAGGCCCTAGTGTTAATTTTTTTTTAAATATTTATATAAGAACTGGGGTACAGGCCAGAGGCACTGGAGGGTGAGAGGATTCACCAGAGACAGAGCGGGGAGCAGAACAGGCAGATAAACTGAAAACAGTGCTGAGGGGAGTAGCAGGTGAGACAGGAGAGGTCTGCCGCACCATGTATCTCCCTGGCTGGCCAGGATTCGAACCAGCCCTGCAGAGGCTGCAGACAGCCTCACTGGGGAGGCCCAGGTTAGTGTTAATATTGTGACTTTCTTTCACTTATTTTGACTTCATGGATTGTCCTACAGAATCCATAGTTAGACTAAGGCATGAAGAAATTGACTTTCCTCCAGTGCCTTACATGTAAATGTAGTGCTTTTTTTCTCCTCCACTCGTCAACATTAGTTCCAGTTTTTGTTAAATGCAGCCTTTATTTGCTCAAACCTTGATATTATTAGCTTTGAATAGTTTATTTATGGAAATGCCTGAAGTTAAGATGGAAAATGATAATCTGAGGCACAAAGGTCAATAACAAGTAGCATCTTGGATTTTAGTGAATCAGTAAATAAATATCACATGATCAACACTTTGCTGGGCACTAAAGACAATGCAGAAGAAGCCACAGTGTTCATCCTCAAGGAAGAACATTCCTGTTAGAAGAAAAAATGAACACAGTGAACAGCAGAAAACAGTGATAAATTTAATATTGAGATGTGTGGAATAGACCTGAAGTGGCAAAGAGTACAAAGAAAGGTAGAATAGACAATATCAATCACGAAGTAGAGCAATTGATATATTTTTTAAAGATTTATTTATTTATGCTTACAAGAACTGGGGTACAGGCCAGAGGCACAGGGGGGTGTGAGAGGATTCACCAGAGACAGAGTGGGGAACAGAATAGGCAGATGGACCAAAATACACTGCTGAGGGGAGCAACTGTCAAGTCAGGAAAGGTCTGCTGTGCCATGTGGGTAGCTCCCTGGCTCGTAGATCGAACTCGTGCTGCAGTGGCTGCAGGCAGCCTCATAGGTTGCGCCTTAACCCCTTGCGCCACCAGGGAGGCCCAACTGATATTTTTATAAAATTATCGAGGTAAAAATATTCAGGCTAGGACTGGGTTTTTTACTAAGAAGCATAGGGATAGGTCTCTAAATACTAGTAGAGATTAAGCATTTTGGCCAAATATTAAAATAAATAAAGCCAGGAAGTATCAACATAGGATGAATTTCTAAAGTAGCAAAATTATCCAGAAATTAATTACTGTAATTTATCGTCAACAGTAGTAAGACTTAAGTTTAAAATGATAGTACAGGAACAATTTCTTGGCACTATCAGCTGTTACATTTCTTATGCAGTCACTGTACTGGACATTAGCTACACCAAATTGACACTTGTTTTCAACTAATACATTTAAAAACATCACTAAACTTTTTCTGTGCCACAGAGCCATTCAGGAAAATATTTTTCAATAAGATATTTGCAGATAGAATGAGGTGGGATTTATAGTTGACACAAATCTTAAAATTACTTCATCTTTGGCAACAGAAAAAGATAATTTTTTTCATGACTAATATTGTATTTAATTTTCTCGAGGTTTGTTTGTGATTTAGAGGTATAGGATCTTCTCCTTTAGGTGCTGTTACACACCACACCCACCAACAAAACACCCGTAGTCCGTCATAGTACACTGTTCACCCTCCTCATTTTGTTCTCTCCTCCCCTTCTGATAGCCTCAGTTCTACAGTCAGAGTTCTAGGATTTGTACTGGTTTTACTTCATTTGACACTTTGTTTTTGTTGGTCTATGTAAATGGCATCCATGTAGGTGACACCACCTGGTATCTGTCTTTCTCCTAACTTTATTTTGCTGAGCATAATCTCCAGTTCTATCTATGTTGCTGCAAATGGCCAGAGTTTATCTTTTTTAATAGCTGAGTAGTAGTTCATATATAACACATTTTTTTAGATAGATTTTTTTTAATACTTTTTTTTTTTTTAAAGATTGATTTATTTATGCATACAAGAACTGGAGTACAGGCCAGAGGTATGGGTGGGGGTGGTGAGAGGGTTCACCAGAGACAGAGCAAGGAACAAAACAGGCAGACTGACTGAAATACACTGCTGAGGGGAGTAGCGGGCAAGTCAGGAGAGGTCTACTGTACCATGTGGGTAGCTCCCTGGCTGGGGATTGAACTTGTGCAGCAGTGGCTGCAGATAGCTTCATAGGTTGCATCTTAACCCCTTGCGCCACCAGGGAGGCCCTATGACACGTCTTTTTGATCCACTCATCTGTATTTTGGCATTTCAGTTGTTTCTATAGCTTAGCTATTGTAAATAGTGCTGCAGTGACTATAGGAGTGCGTGTAACCTTCAGAGTAGTGCTTCTGTATTCTCTGGGTAGATAACCTGGGAGTAGAATTTCTGGGTCACACAGTAGATCCACTTTTAATATTTTGAGAAATCTCCATACTGTTTTCCAAAGGGGCCAGACCAGTCTACATTCCCACCAACAGTATAAAAGAGTTCTTTTCCTCCACATCCTTACCATCACTTGTGGTCTTTTGGATATGGGCCTTTTTCACATGTGTTATCTCATGGCTTTGATTTACATTTCCCTAATGATAACTGATAACAATCATTTGCCTGTTGGCTATCTGAATGTCTTCTTTGGAGAAGTGCCTGTATAGTTGTTCTGCCCATTTTTTAATTGGGTCATTAATTTTCTTTTTTGTTGAGTTGTAAGAGTTCATTGTAAATCTTGGCTAGCAGCCCTTTGTTGGATATATGGTATGCAAATATTTCCTCCCACTTGGTAGGGTGTCTTTTTGTTTTAGTGATAGTTTCTTTTTCTTTTGCTGTGCAGAAGCTTTTTAGTTTGAGTAGTCCCAATTATTATATTCTCTTTTGTTTTTCTTGCCATTGGAGACAAATCCACAATGATAAAAAGATCATTTTTGACACTTTATATATGTAGCCTACATAGACTCAAGCTAGTTGAGTTGTCTTAAGACAATCTTGTAGTTTTTTGTTGTTTTTGTTTTTTTTTTTTAATTTAGGTTTGTTTACTTTTTTTTTAAAGATTTGTTTGTTTATACAAGAACCGGGGTACAGGCCAGATTTGCTGGAGGGCGAGAGGGTTCACCAGAGACAGAGCGGGGAACAGAACAGGCAGACTGACGAAATACATTGCTGAGGGGAGCAGCGGGCGAGACAGGAGAGGTCTGACGCGCCATGTGGATCAAACTGGCGCTACAGAGGCTGTGGACAGCTTCACAGCGCTGTGCTCAACCGCCTGCACAACCAGGGGAGGCCCGGTTTTTTGTTGTTTAATTAAACAAAATGTGGTTGGAGTACAAGTTTCTCTCAACAATTTTTATTTCAATCTCTGAATTTTGACATCATATTTTGACTTTTGTATATCTGTTTCCATAATTAAGATTTTTTCCAACTCATGGTATTTTGAGGTGACAATGTTTTTAATTCATCATAAGATGTGAAGAATTCCCCAAAAGAACTTTTTTCTTGAGAGATTTATGAATTAAAAGGAAGTAAATAACTGAAATTTAAATGCAAGTTTTAAAGGTTATTTAATTTTTTGAATGCTGGTATGTAATCCATTCTGAAAAGATGAAATTACGATAAAATGTAATCTCTTATTTTTTTTAAAGATTGATTTATTTATGCGTACAGGAACTGGGGTACAGGCCAGAGGTGTGGAGGGTGAGAGTGTTCACCAAAGACAGAGTAGGGAACAGAACAGGTGGATGTACTGAAATACACTGCTGAGGGGAGCAACGGGTGAGACAGGAGAGGTCTGCTGCGCCATGTGGGTAGCTCCCTGGCCGGGGATTGAACTCGTGTTGTAGTGGCTGCTACAGTTCCATAGATTGCATCTTAACTCCTTGCACCACCAGGGAGACCACGTAATCTTTTATTTTCACATTAAACATTTTTCAAAGATACAATATTAAAGTAATATATTCAGGATCTCCCTGGTGGCAGAAGGGATTAAACACCACACTATGAAGCAATTCGCAGCCTCTGCAGCACTTAGCATTATACTTTCAAGCTCCATCCATGTTGCTGCAAATTGTCTTTTTTGATTGTTGAGTAATATCCCATTGTATAAATATACCACACTTTTTGATCCATTTGTCTAATTTGGGACATTTGGGTTATTTCCATATCTTGGCTATTGTATTAATAAATAGTGCTGCAATATCATAGGAATGCAGATTTCCTTTCACATTAATGTTCTTGTGTCCTTTGGTAGATTCCTACGAGTAGGATCACTGGATCATGTGGTAGATCCATTTTCAGTGTTTTGAGGACCCTTCACTTAGCTTTCCATAGTGGCTAGACCTGTTTGCATTCCTACCAGCAGTGTAAGAGTGTTTCTTTATCTCCACATCCTCTCCAGCACTTATTGTTTCCAGTTCTTTTAGTGGTCATTCTCACTGGAGTGAGGTGGTATCTCATTATGGTTTTGATGTGCATTTCCCTGATAATCAGTGATGTTGAACATTTTTTCATATGCCTGTTGGCCATTTGTGTTTCGAGAAGATGCTACTTATATAGCAGTAAAAGTTGGTAAGGGAGCAGGCCATGTTGCGGTCTGTGAAAATATATCAGATAGGGGAATAGCAGGTGTAGAGACTCTGAAGCAGAAACAGAGCTGGTGTATTTACAGTATACTAAGAATGTGGAGAGGCTAGAGAAATGTGCCAGGCAAAGATACAAAGATAAATGGTTAGAGGAGTTTAGGGCAAGGCGCAGGTATGGCATGTATTACATTGGCTTTGTTGCCATAGTCATTCTTTCACTTACTCCAGGACGGAGAACAGTTAGTGGGTTCTGGACAAAGGAGTGATCTGACATAGATTTTTAACAGCTCAGCCTGCTGATTTGAGAATTATAATAGATTGGCAAAGAAAAGAAGACCATTTAGGACTGTGATAGTGATCTAAGCAAGAAGTGATGTGGAGCAAGGTGAAGGAGTGGCGGTAATAAGTGGTCAGATTCTATTTCAAAGTTAGAACCAACTGGATTTGATAACTGGTTGGATATGGGACATGAAGAGACTCAAGATTAATCACAAGATTTTTGACCTGAGCAACTAGATTCTGGAAGGATTGGGTAACCATTGCCTGATGTCAACATTGCACAAGAAAGAAAGGTATAGGGCCTCCCTGTGCTGCAGGGGTTAAAGACATAGCCCTATCAAGCTAATACAGATCCTGATCCCTGGCTGACCAGGGAGCAACCCATATGGTGCAGCAGACCTCTCCTTTTTCGCACACTGTTTCCCTTAGCAGTGTATTTAAGTATTTCTACCTGTTCTGCTCCCCACTCTGTCTCTGGTGAATCCATTCACCCTACCCCAACCCGCACACATACATCTCTGGCCCACACCCCACGTTTGTTTTTTTTTTTTAATGATTTATAAGTTTGAGACTTTTTTTTTAAAGATTTATTTATTTATACAAGAGCTGGGGTACAGGCCAGGGGCGCAGGAGGGTAAGAGGATTCACCAGAGACAGAGTGGGGAGCAGAAAAGGCAGGCGGACCAAAAGCACTGCTACTGGGAGCAGTAGGCAAGACAGGAGAGGTCTGCTGCGCCATGTGGGCATCTCTCTGTCCAGCCGGGAATCGAACCTGCGCTGCAGAGGCTTTGGACAGCCACACAGCGCTGCTCTCAACCTGCTGAGCCACCGGGGAGGCCCCACCCCAGTTTTTCTGCGCAAAGGTAAATTTAAAAAAAAAAAACTTTAAAAAGATAGAAAGGTGGGCCTCCCTGGTGACACAAGAGGTTAAGCACCACTTTATGAAGCAATCTGCAGCCTCTGCAGCACGAGTTCGATTCCTGGCCAACCAGGGAGCAACCCACGTGGCACAGCAGACCTCTCTGTTTCGCCTGCTGCTCCCCTCAGCAGTTTATTTCAGTCAGTCTGTCTGTTCTGTTTCCCACTCTGTCTCTGGTGAATCCTCTCACACACCCCACCCCCGCCCCGCATCTCTGGCCTGTGCCCCAGCTCTTGTATGCATAAATAAATAAATCTTTAAAAAAAAAAAAAGATGGAAAGGTATAAAACACAAAATTTCTTATCATACAAGATTTAATAAAGTATTTCATTGGTGGAAAGCATAGAGGAATGGTTACAGGAAAGGTGTATGTATGTTAGTAGACCATGCAATTTAGTTTGCCACATGTCTTCCCATCTTGTCTAATAGTAATATTGTTATAAATGTTAGTACTAGAGCACTTCCTTTTCAGATGGATAGATGGTTATTATCAGATACTGAATATTGAGCCACATTTTTATACTATTAACTCTTTCTTACCAAATTTAACAATTTAAAAATGATGCTCTTTGACACGTGTTATAAATCTGATTTTATCTAAAACTAGATTTATGTATTTATACCAATACTTTTATAAATTTTAACTATCTTTCAGATTAACAAATAGAAATATCATACACAAACCAGCAGAGTGGACCTTAATTGCGATGGTGTTGCTGTCACTGTAAGTACACTTTCAGATTTTAACTCTAAATGCTAAATATGAAGAATTTTGATTAGGGAAGAACAAAATATTTGTTGATTTTGTGAACTTTCTTTCCAATTTTTAGTATATGTGCTGCTGAAGCAAGCACGATTTTGTAAACTTTTTTGTACCTATGTTCTATGGCTTATTTATCTTTCCCATATGATAAAATGATTTTCATGTAAAGTGATACGTAATATTTATTTCTATTGTATTTTTTTATTTTTATATTCCCCATACAATTGCAACCCCCTTATTTTGACCCCAGTGATATGTAATATTTTGATAAGTTGTAATCATTTTGTATTATAGCATCTTTTATTTTTTCCCCAACTACCATCCTTTATATCCCCTTGACCCTTTCTCCCTCTGTCTCCCTGTCTCAGAAACCTCACTTAATTTATTAATATCACTATTTTTTTAAGTTATTTCTGTCATATCATCCACTATGTAAATGTGTATTTGTCTTTGTCATTCTGACTTGCTTTACCACATATAATTCCATTGAACTCCTTACATTTTGCTCTAAATGGCAAGATTTCATTTTTTCTTATGGCTGAATAATGGCCCATCATGTGGTTTTACCACATTCTTGATCCAGTTCTCTTTCACACATGGGCATATAGGTGGGCATATTGGTTCTTTGTCCTAGTTATTGTAAATAGTGCAGCAGTAAACCTTGTAAAGCATACAGGTTTTTGGATTGATCGTTCTTTGGTTAGATGCCCAAGGGTGGGAATGCTAGGTTGTATAGTATTTCCATTCTGTGTTTTTTAAGGTAAATCCTGATTGTTTTCCAGAATGTTTACACCAGTTTATATCCCCATCAACAGTGTAACAGGGCTCCTCTTTCTCCACATCTCTCCAACATTTGTTGTTGGGGGTCTTTACAATGTGTGCCATTCTTACATGTCGGAGATGATATTTCATTCTGGTTTAACCTGCATTACTTTGTATAGAGAGTGATGATGAACATTTTTGCATGTATCATCCTTCTAGATACCCTTTTAATTGAATTGTCTCTTCAGATCTGCTGCCCATTAATTGATTGGGTTGTTTGTTTTTTTGTTGTTGAATGCTATACATTTTTCATATATCTTGGATACTAATCCCTTGTGAGTTAATGTTAGGTATTAATATTCTCCCATTCAGTCAGATGTTTTTTTAATCTACTTACTTTTTTCTTTTGCTTTATAAAAACTTTTTGAGGTAACCCTAATTGTTTTTCCTTTTGTTTCCCTTGCCATAGGTATTGTCTTCAAAGACATTGTTATCACTGATGTCATGAAATGTGTTGCCAGTATTTTCTTTCATATGTTTATTGTTTCAAATCTTACATCTATATTTTTAATCCATTTGGTATTTTTGTAGATGGAGTTAAAATAATACAGCTTCATTCTTTTCCATGTAGTCTTCCAGCTTTCCTATCACATTTTATTAAAGAGGCTCTTCTTTCCCCATTATATGATCATAGCTGCTTTATTGTAAACTAAGTATTGATATGTATGTGGATTTATTCCCGAGCAGTTGATTCTGTTCCATCAATATGTGTCTATTTTTATACAGGTACCATATTGTTTTTAGTACTGTTGCTTTCTAATGTACTTTAAAAATCACATAAAGTGATGCCTTTTTTTTAATTAGGACTATTTGGCTATTCTACCCCTTTAATAATTTGAAAAAAAGGTCAATGTTTTTTGTTCATTTCCTTTGAAGAATATTCATGTTTTGATAGGGATTACATTAAAATTAGATACAGCTTTATTATAGAATGATGACTTTAATCATGTTTATTCTCCCTATTATGAACATGAAATGTCTTTTCATCTCCTTATGTCCTGTCTGAATTGTAACATCTTGTAGTTCTCATTATCTAGGTCCTTCGTTAGGTTACTTCCAAAGTATTTGATTCTTTCTGAAGCAATTGTAAATGGAATTATTTTCTTAATTTCTTTTTTTTCTCAGTCATTGATTGTATATAAAAATGCCATGGATTTTTATGTGTTGTTTTTGTAACCTGCCACTTTACCATATTTATTGTTTTTAGTAGTTTTTCAGCAGAGTTGTGTGTGTGTGTGTGTGTGTGTGTGTGTGTGTGTGATATCTTTGTATAGTGATAGTTTCACTTCATGTTTTCCAATTTGGATCACCTTTATTTCCTGTTGCTGTCTGATTGCTCTAACCAAACCCTAAATGTGATAACAGTGGGAATCCATATATTGTTTCTGATCTTCAAGGAAAAGTTTTTAGTTTACATCATTAAGTGTTATCTAGTATATATGTAGTGTTATGTTGTATATATGGCTCATTTAATATTGAGATAGGTTACTTCTTTTCCCATCTTCTTGAGTCTTTCTTATAAATGGGCAACAAATGCTTTCTCTGTGTCTGTTGATGTTATGTGTTTTATTTGTACTTTTGTTGATAAAACATATTATTTGATTACTTTATACCTGGTAAAACATCCTTGTATCCCTGGGATAAATTCTACTTGATCATGATGTACAATCCTTACATATATTATCAAGCTCAATTTGGTAGTATTTTCTTTAAGATTTTTATGTCGATGTTCATCAGAGATACTGACCTGTAATTTTCTTGTGCTGTGTTTATCTGGTTTTCATATTAAAGTGATGTTGGCATTATAAAATAAATAAGAAGCATTCCCTTATGTATTTTTAGAAATAATTGGGCCAGGATGTGCATAAGTTCTTCTTTAAAGGTTGGTAGAATTTGTAAAGCTGTCTGGTTCAGAGTCTTTGTTTTGGGGGAGATTTTTATTGCTGTTTCAATTTCCATGTTTATGATCAGTTTATTCAGCTTTTCTGTTTCTGCCTGGTATAGACTTGGTAAACTATATTATCTAGACTATTTTCCATTTTACAAAGTTATTGAATTTATTGGTGTATAACTGTTTATAGTAATCTCCTGTGATCCTTTGATATGTTTCCTTGTCTTTCCATTTTTAGTTTTTATAGGCTGTAGTAGGGACAAACCTTCAAACTGCTGTCTTTTACCTGTTCAGGTGGCCAGAGAACTATCAACAAGGGATATTAAGTAGAAAGGATGTGCTGTAGGTACCACTGTAATGTAATGGGGAGCCGCAGTGATCCCCTTTAGGCCAACTCCTCAGCCTGAATATCTTGTATAATCTCAACCTCTAGGCTATATTTGAGCACTAGATGAAACGCTGAGCATGAGCATGGATTGTTATTGAGTCAGTGGCACAAGCTTAGCATTGTTCTCTTTTTCAGTGCAGAGTCTGTGCCTGGGGTGTTAGTCCCTATTCTTCGGATTCCTGTGCTTAAGCTCTGGTTAATGAAAGCATTCAGTTGATGTCATGGTTTTGGGCCCTGGGTGGGAGGTAGCATCTGTTGAAAGCAGCACAGCCTACTGCTGCAAATAATATTCTCTGCTATGAGGAGATACAGGTGATCCAATGTGGATCTTCCCACCTGTTCAGGTTCCAGCTAGTCTCAATCAGAGGCTTTAGGCTCAAGCCAGTTGTTGTTCTGCACCCCTGCTCTTATGGTTCTCCAATAGTGGACCCTCTGTCCTGGATACCAGCTCTTCATACCCTCTATCCCACACAGTGCGAGGTCACCCAAAGTGACTCAAAGTCCCCCAAATGAGTGTATGTCCTTGAGTTAAATGGCTGTAGAGGGGCTCTGTATGCAGCCACCCATACCTCTCATGAGTTGTACTGCCACAGTATAGCTGCAAACATAGTTCAACAAAGTTTATCCTACCCCTTTCTGCTAGACCATTGCTCATGTTGTATGCTGTTTGTCTCTTAGGGATTATTAACTTTGTTCTGCTGCAGTTTAGTTGTGACTATATGAAGAAGCCAATCCCAGTGTTTGTACTTTACTGCCATCTTGCTGGACTCCTAAATTTGTTACCTTTGATAGAGAAGAAAATCCCCATGTGGGATATATACAGACTAGTCCTTTAATTTCATTTTTAACATTGAATGGACCTCAGTATTTTACAGTTGCATTTTTTGCCAACATATTTAATTTCATTTTCCTTCAGCACTTTTATCATTAATATCATCAGAAAAGTTTCATTTTCAAATTAATGTACAATCTTAAAATCAGTCAGATTTAAAGGAACTAAAGTAACTGTTTGCTATACAAGCACTTACAAAACATTTAATATTCTTTCACCTTTGAAGAAATCACAAGTGGTTTCTAAGCGTTGTCTTTCTATGGGATTAATACCATCCAGTAAGTGTAGTAGTTTTCAGCTTGAATTGCAAAAAAGTCTTCTTTTGAGAACCATTCATTACTGTATTACCGTTGCTACTTGATGCTTGTTAGGTCATTAAAGCCCATAGGACACTGAACACCTACTGGACTCTCACAGGTCAAGAAGTGTTATGAGTCAACCTCATAGCATCTCCTGCCCTGCTTTTTCTTTGATACTGCTTCAGTCTAACATGTTATTCTGGCCTCATTGTCCCAAGGAATGCTGAGTTGGGAGACATTAGAGTAGGCTCCAGTGAGCCAGCATCTTTGTCTCCCAACCAGATATAACTCACACGATTCATTAAATCAGAACACAGAAGATAACTTTACTTGAATGCCCTGATATAAATTTTTTATGAGCCTTGTGAACAAATCTTTTGTCATTTCTACTATTCAGTGTTCCAGATGAACTGGTAATTTATGAAATAGATCTTACTAATTTTTTAGGAAGTTCTTTTTATTTTATAAAATTTGTAAATATTTTGGTCACTGGCCAAAAAAAAAAAAAATAAATAAATAACAGTATCTCTGCTCACCCACCATATCCTATGCCTGCTAATGAACCCTCACAGATAACTGTTTAACTGTACTTCTGCAATTCATTATACTAAAGGGGAAGTAACTTTCTTGGTTGACAAGTCCGAGACCTAAGCACAGCAGTAATCTCAGAATCTTGCTTTCTAAGCCAGTAGCTGGAAGTATTATCTTAATAAGCAGCTGCTTACTGAG